ATGATTAAATCAAGGATATTTATAAGGCTCATGTACACATTTTGCCATTTGCTTTTCAGAAAATTAACGTGCAGCCCTAATGCAGGGCAATTCCCAGATTTTGTTTTCTGTTCCAGCATTTTTAAAAAGACACTTGAATGACCATCTCTATCTCAAAGCAGGGGGAACAAAAAAGATACTAAAATGAGTTTGTCAGTATTAATGCAAGTTTTGGAAGGGGTGAGATTTAGCGTAAGTTTTTAAATTTTCTGTAATTTGCTGCTTACATTCTGTTCTCCTGGGCGCAGTGGGTAGTGGTGGGTCGGTTCATGTATTTTGGAGTAGTTTCTACACCAGCTGTTGTATCGTGTCAGTGCCTTAGGCCAGGGCTGTCACCAGCCTGACTTCGAAGTCTCGCCCTTAGGTAGAGCATAGTCCTTTTCATCACTTTAACTAAAGAGGCAGAGCCCTTTTGGGAATTTGAACTTACTGTGTGGCGCGCTGGGCGGCTGACCACTTTCCCTCCACAAGCACTGACACTCCTCTGTATCAGTTAGTGGTGTGCCGGGTTCATTACACTGAGATGCCTTGATGTATTCTGGACTCTCTCTTGTATTGCTTAGAGCAAATGCCAGTAACTTAAGCCAGCACTCTAAGGATCCATCTGCGTGGCAACCCAGTCCAGCCTGGAGACTGGAGCGGCCCCGCAGCGTGACAGTTCCCAGGAGCAGCATGCTGGTCTGTGGAAGTGCACTATTTCTCCCCATAGAACTGCAGTGGAGGCTGCGTGGTAGTGCTGTGCGTGTTCACAGCTTGCTGACACTAGCTGGAGGGTGAATCGCTTTCTTCCTCATGGTGTATACTGCTCTTCCTTTACAGGCACCTTTAAGGTGTTCACAGCAAGGTCAGGTTGGTAATACCCATTGACAGAGTTGGTTGCTCCCCTTGAATTAGCTTTTCTGTAGATGTAGTTTAGTCTGGTATTTCTGTGAGCAGGGGTTAGTTTTAGGTTTTGGTCTTTGTAAAAGATATCAGGTAAATTTCCATGGGTAGAAAGCTTAAATGGAGTTACGGTATAGCCTTGCAAAGACTGAGTTTTTGGTTGTCTGTATTAGGTACAGAGCGTTGGCATAGATTTTTTTTAAAAAGCATTTAATATGTTTGGGAGGTTTTGTGTAATAGAATATTGATGGCCTGGTTTGGAGGGGAATTGATGATATTCCAAACCACATGTGAACAGGCCATGTATGTGGACTGATTTTTGCAGGCAGAGCTTTGTATTGAGCTCCTCTGCCTTCTCGCAGTGGATTGGCCCCGCGCATCCAGGAAAGCCTGCTTGGGTCAGCCTGCTTGCCTCGGCTCCCGGGAAGAAGAGTGGGAGAGTGATGTACAGACCAAACTGCAGTGGCGGTGATGTCAACAAAGAGCTGGAAGTGTGTCTTAGCAGGAGTAACAGTGAATTCCAAACCGCCAGTGGGCTTTACAGAGGCTGGTTCTACAACTGTTTTCAGCAGCTTGCAAATCGTGTGTGGGGCCACCCACACTTCCTTCCTGCCCTCCACCACACCCACACCGCAGTTGCCTCTGCTCTCCCTGGCGGGGAGGACACCAGCGTATTCTTGCACCATGCACAAGCGCGTGCTGCTCAGACGTGGAAGAGACTCTTCGCTGGTTGTCCTGCGTCAGTTAGGTCCAGCCTGCTTGTACCCGTGTGCATGTGCTGAGCAAGCAGGCTACGTCAGAACAGTCTGTGTAGTGGCATTTGCTGTTTTAAAAGATGTCATTTTAGCTATGTGGTTGTTAAAACTGGTCTAGAAGTAAAGCATTGCTTGAGGAAATGTTCCTCATACAAGTGGAGAGGAAACTGTCAAACCGCATCACAATGGTCTTAAGTCCCAAGGACATGAGTGCAGGATCTGCAGTGCGATCTGGTAAGAAGTCATCCTTGATGAGATTAGACAACCACCTGTAATTCATTTTTTTGTGGTGCTTTTCCGCATCTCTCAGAATTTCTAAAGTAACTTGTCCAGCTTAATTTTTGTCTATTTTGATTTTTTTTCTAGTACTGGCAATTGAAGCGAGGACCTTGGCACTAGATAATCTTCAGCCCCTTTTATTTTTTATCTTGAGGCAGGGTCTTGCTAAATTGTCCATGTTGGGCTTGAACTTGTAACCCTCCTGTGGGCTTCCCAGAGTGCTGGGATTACAGGTGTGCGCCACCGTGCCCAGCCCAGTTGGACATTTTAGAAATATGGTACAGTTCCTCTCTCTGCCCTGACATCACCCTCCTTGCCCTGCGTATTGTCCCATTTTGTAAAAAAGAAATTGTATCTGGCATATGCTATTCATAGAAAATAATTCGGAAGGCTGCGTACTGGAATGTTAACAGATATTATTATGGATGATGGGATAATGGAGTGGGTTTTTTTTTGGTACCGGGAATCAAACTCAGTACCTTCCACTTGCCAAGGTGCTTGTTCCGCTGAGCTATGTCCCCAGCCCCCTTTTTTTAAAAACTGCTTTTTACTGTTTTTTACCAGCCTATATTTTTTAGTTATATTTTTCTAAATTAAACATTTTCTTTCATACTTGAAACAAAAATACTAAAACAAAGGAAAGTGATATGGCAAGTGAAAAAAAGCAGGCCACAGGATATAAAGTGCATAGAATGATCACACCTTTGAAGACAAAAGAAACTGTATATAAATATTTGTAAGCTAACTACCAGAATGTTAGTAGTGCTGTTTTTCAGTGCTAGGACTGTGGATACTTTCTTAAATTCTATTTTCATTCAGCACTTTCCAGATTTCCTCTATGAACATATCACTTTATGAGTTTTGGTTTTTTGGTTTTTTTCCAGTACCAGGAATCGAACTCATGACCTTGCGCTTGCCAGGCAGGCGCTGTGCCGCTGAGCTAAATCCCCAGCCAATGAATATATTAGTTTGATGGGAAAAAATGTAAAGGAACATTCAAGTTTTTTTGAAAGGGTAAATTTAATGAAAAGCAAATACTTAGGGTTTTTGAGATATTTTATTGAAAAGCCATCAGACTTTGATATGCTGAGGCATTACTTTCCTTATCTCAAAATTTTATAGCACTTATTTTGTAAATATATTTTAGGATACCTGCTACAGAATTTATATGAAACTGAGAGCTGTTAACTTATTAAATTCTTTTTTCTTTTTTTTTAAGTATATGTTTGCAGTACATAATGATTGCATTTCTCTTGGGGAACCTGTACGTGTGCATAAGACATCTTAATTGTTTTTCTGTCCCGTACCCCTCCTGTCCCTTCCACCTCTTGGTCCCTTTGAAGCAGGGTGAACAACTAGGAAATTTCTGTTCAGGACGAGGGAGTCCCCTCATTGGACCCACGGCAGTCGCCACACTGGTGAAGGGCTTCCTGGAGCGCTCCTCCAGGCCAGCATTATTATTCCAGATGGTTTGCCTCTGTTACCTCGCTGCTCTTCACGATGGCCATTACTAACACCTCTGGCCGTGAACTGAAATTCAGAGCCACTTGTTGGGTCTTCAGAACCAGCACCCCAGAGCGCCACACTGCCGCCACACTGCCTGCTGCAGAGACCGCGTGGGGGAGCAGCAGGTGGAGTTGCAGGGGCAGGCAGGCGGCATCCAGGGCACCTGTGAGCAGATGTGGCCAGAGCACTCCCCTCCTCATTCCCAGTGGAGGCCTGCCTGCTTCCTGCCTACCTTGCTGTCTGCCCCTCCCCCTCGCGCACTCCTTTTTCCCAGTGTAATGGTTAATAAATTGTGTCAGCTTGAGAAGTCTAGAAGCCTAGCTAAGTGTAGCTAAGCAGTTCTACATCCTGGGGTGTAGAGGACATGTCCTTATGCTCTAGGATGTTGATCATTGTGTCAGCTTGAGTTTAGGCGGTTAAATAAGAGACTCAGCAGAGGGCCAGCATTCTCCCTTTGTAAATACCGTAAGCGTGTGCAAGAGAAGGCGTGGTGTAAGTGCGATACCCACCTGAGGACGAGTAGCCTGCATGCAGTGTAAGGGAGGAGAGGAGACTTGTTCTCCCCGCTTTTGTGCTCTTGTTGCTTTTGCTGCCTTCTGCTGCCTTGAAGTGTTGCCCCTCTACCATGCCATCCTGCCTTGGAGCTGGGTGACTAATGACTTAAACCTCCACAAACTGTGAGCTAAATAAACCTTTCCTTCCTTAATTTTGGATGTCGGGTGTTTTGTCTTAGTAAGGAGAGGAAAATAACTAAGTGTGTGAGCTTAGCTGTTGCCCACGCACCCTCACTGTAGCAACGGTAGGAGCGGCCCAGCTCACCTGAGGGCTTGGGTCTTTGTTGCTCCTGTCGTCCCTCAGTGTTGAGGAAGGGCCTGCAGGACTCCCATCAGAATCCCCTCTCTGTGGCACAGATGTGGATATAAGCAATGTGTTCACGTTCTCTTTGTTCATAGTGAGTTTTACTTTTACTGGGAAGGGCAGGCCTCTGATACAAAGGTTTTGGTTTTCCTTGAAGCTGGCATCGGAATTGAGTTCTGCTTGCTTGGTGGAGGAATGGTGTGGAAAGGTTGTCTTCCTTGGCTCCTGCTGTGAGTTACTTTATGAGCCTCTGGGGTTCCTGGAGATTGGGGGGCCTTCAAAGGCAGGCCAAGCGCGTGTGGAGCCAGGGACTGTGCTTACCAGGCCGGACTCCCCTGGGGCTCACAGTGGCAGAGTCACCGGGAGGACCGTCACCTGGGAGGTCAACAGTGTGGCGGATGTACTGCTGTCCGTTGTTGTCTCTTCCTTCCGTGGAAGAGTCTTTCTGATATGCCTCCTTGGGAAAGTCTGTGTGCCTATTCACTCTGAAATCACCATTCACTGGCAGTTTCTGAAAAGAGTGCTCAGTCACAGAGGGCAGAGAGAGATGGGAGACTGTGGCTAAAGACAGATTTTGCCATTTTTATACAATTGTCTGGAATCTAGCCCAAGGTTGTATATGTTAACTTTAAGCAAAGTCCACAGAACTAAACTAAAACTCTGTTCTGTGTTTTCTTCTAGGAGAAAGAGGCAGCTAACAAGAGCCAGTGGTAATCAGGATTACTCAGTCCGCATGCATTTTGCAGGGTACGTCGTGGAGTTCTACAGGCTCACCTGTACCTTTCCGAGCCACGTCGTTGCTGAGGTGTTCAGAATACGTACAGGCACTGGGGGATTTTCAGTAGGATTAGACTGTGGCTTACAATTTAAAAAGATGTTCATATTGAGAATACTTTTTCTCCCAACCTTCAGTTAGTCATGATGTCTTGTTTTTAGGTGTGAAATTTAATTGCAGTTTCAGTCTCTGGAAAGGGGGTGCTTATCCAAAAGTAACTTCTTGATAGAGTAATTAATCGGTACCGTAATTGACCACTGTAGGCCAGTACGCCCTTGTGAACAAACCTACTAGAGTCTCTCCTGTGAGCGTGCTAGTTAAAAATACTCATTGTGCCATTTTGTTGCCACAGGGCTGGAAGGAGAAACACCAAGGTGTTTAACAGTGATTCTCCCTGGGCGTGTGGCACCCTGAGAAAAAGATCTTTTGTTTTTCATTTATTATAGTCATAATTATGTAGATTTAGGAGCCTCTAGGTTCATTTACCAAATCTGATTGATGGGCCACTTTCCTGAGCACATCTAGACTGAATGATAGAGGAGAGGAGCAGAGATTACGTAACTTGGGGGCAGCCGGCTTGAGTGTGTTTCAAAGCCGGTTACATCTGCAGACCTGTGCGGTGGCAGTGGACAGACTTGGGAGAGTTAAGGATTTAAGGATAGTTTTCTGCCACCTTCAGTTAGCCTGCAGTTTTTATTTTTTAAAAGTAAATATGCCTGAATTAAAGTTTCTTTTGGGAAACTGCTGTCCAAATATAGCAGTCTTTCAATTTAGATTTTCTTGTTAATCATGTCGTTAAAATTATTAGCTCAGATGGCAGGGATCATACAGAGTATAGAAGAAATTTTCTTTTCTTCCCTAACACATGGACGTCCTACTGATTTCTTCATTTAAAAATCTTAATGGGAGCAGGACTCATAATGTAGTTTTGGTTCTGAAGTCAGATTGCAGAGTGTACGGCGCGTTGGCGGGTGTAGAGCTCTGGGCTCGCTTTGGCTCTCTCCACCCCTGCTGTGTAGCACGGGCCGGGTCACTGAGCGTTTCTGTGCTTCCAGACAGGGCTTGCCCTGGTTTCTGAGGGCACCTGTGAGGACTGCGGGTGAGGCGCGGGTTCGGCATGTGCTTGGCATGCCGTGCTCATTAAGGGGACGGTGGTGCTGTGGATCACTACCATGGTTCCTAAAATATAAAGTGCTTACTAGTGAACTTCTCGCTACTGACTTGTTGAACTTAAATAAATTTTCTGGAGCGGCCCCGGATACGTGGTTCAGGTCATTACCGAAGTGTGAAGAACATGAGGATGATGTTATGCCTCTTTTTAGTTGGCATTTTAGCTCTTAAAACCTGACTGTCGGGGATGGCACTGTTGAGAGTGTGAAATGGTGGCAGAGTGCGGGCTCTGAAGCCTGAGCTCGGGTTGACTTCTAGCTGCCCTGCCTCGCCTGAGCCCTCGTACACTGAGCAGAGTCTGTTTCTCTGTCTGTGCGAGGGGGTGGTGCTGACCTCGGGGCTGCCGGGAGCCCACGAGGCAATCCAGGCCAATCCGCTTTGTGTAGCTGCCGAGACTGTTGTAGGTTGTGGTAGAGGACAGCTCTTCTTCTGTTCTTTGAAGTACAGATGAAGCATAAAGAAATGTAATGCTATGCTTTTTAAAAACTACCTTATAGTTCTTAAGAGTATTTTCACTTTAATATATTAATGTAAGTACTACTCTTAACATGTCTGCAAACAAGACACCATAGCGTTGGAGGAGGCCTCCCTGAGAGGGAGCTTGCTTGGGAACTTGCTGGTTCCTTGCTAGATCTTGTTTATTTCTATTAAACTTTAGTCAGGAAAAATGATGGGCATTCAGTCTGGGAAATTTAAAGTGACATCTTAGTTTGTATAATTTTATGTATTTATTTACTTTCCTTGGTCAGGCTCTTTTATAAGAACCTATTCCTGTGTTTAGAGTTGGTCATACAGATTGAAAATTTAATTTTTTTTTAATTTAAACATTTTTTTTTGAGAGAGTCTCACTATGTAGTTCAGGCTGTCCTTGAGCTCCCTGTGTAGCCCAGGCTGGCCTGGAACTCCTGGGCCACACAGTGCCCAGCCTGCCTCAGTCTCCCAAGTGCTGAGATTACAGGTGCGTGCCATTGCGCCCAGCGAAAAATTTTACATGTGGCAGGAAAGTTAAGATTTAAATTGTCTCTAAGAATGCATGCTTGATCTTCTTGAAATATAAACAGGTCATGATGGTTTATGCTTGAGAGTTGGAAAACTATAATAAAAAAGGACATAAAATAGGTCATAAAAATAGTTACGGAGACAGAAAGTACCTGTCAGTAGCAAGTATTTATTAAGCACCCACTGTGTGTAAGAACAAACAGTCACCTTGTAAACATTTTGGTGCACAGTTGAATTTTAAAATTTAGTAGAAGTTTTGAACACTATACTTGGTTGCGGTAAGCTCTATTCTAGCATGGGTGAGGGTGAAGGAACAAAATAGCACCTTAGAGTAGAAGTCCTCAGCATCTTTGCGGTCTCAGCCGAAAAGCGCGTATTCAGATGGCCGTTTCCACCCGGGGTGGCAGCGGCTGTCGGCACTTTGGAGGTACGGAAGGTAGAGGGTGGTTCTAGCCAGAGAGTTACCGCTGAGAGACTTGATTGCATTCAAAGAAATACTGTGGAGTGGTAGGGAAAAGTTGGGCTTCTGTCCAAATGTTTATTCTTTTGTGTTCCCTTTTTTGTCAGCTCTTACCTTGTTTTTTAAAGATGCTAGTTGAAATTAATTTAGGGGAAAATTTTTTATAAACATAGCTTATCAGACTTGTAGTTTCTTCTTTCTGACATTACCAAAATATTGCTTCCAAGGAGCTGTTTATTTTTCAGCTTGCAAAATTTAATATGGTATTTAAATTCTCAACCTTTACTTTGTAATATAAACTCTAAATATAGAAATAGGTTCTTTTAAGTGACCCTGAATCATTTTGTCTCAATTTATTTGCTTTAAGCATCTCTTAAAATGGAAGAAAGCAAAAGAACATTTACAGAAACTTAATTTTGTTTCTCTTCTTATTTTGTAGATGTCCATGGCAACACTGAAAATGAATTGCTTATTTTCTACAGATACTCTTCTATGAGGAGATCCAGTCAAACAATCTACACACTTTTCCTTCTGTGGGAGCAGCATGGCAGGCTTCAAGCGGGGGTATGACGGGAAGATTGCGGGCTTGTACGACCTGGATAAGACCTTGGGTCGCGGTCACTTTGCAGTGGTGAAGCTAGCCAGGCACGTCTTCACGGGGGAGAAGGTGGCAGTAAAAGTTATTGACAAGACAAAGCTGGACACTCTTGCCACCGGACACCTGTTCCAGGAGGTGCGATGCATGAAGCTGGTGCAGCACCCCAACATCGTCCGCCTGTATGAAGTGATTGACACCCAGACCAAACTCTACCTTATTCTAGAACTTGGAGACGGAGGAGACATGTTTGATTACATCATGAAACACGAGGAGGGTCTCAATGAAGACTTGGCCAAGAAGTACTTTGCTCAGATAGTTCATGCTATATCTTACTGTCATAAACTCCACGTGGTTCACAGAGACTTGAAACCAGAGAATGTAGTCTTCTTTGAAAAACAAGGTCTTGTGAAGTTGACAGACTTTGGTTTCAGCAACAAGTTTCAGCCAGGGAAGAAGCTCACAACAAGCTGCGGCTCTCTTGCGTATTCTGCTCCAGAAATTCTGCTTGGTGACGAGTATGACGCCCCTGCCGTAGGTAGGTGACCCGGGCCCGGTCTCTGCCTTCTTGGCTCCTACCAGCTAGCTAAGTTGATAGCGTGTCAGTTTGTGGCTTATCTAAGAGCATTTCCCTTAACTGCGCCTGAGCTGACCACTGGGTGTCACGAACGCCGGACATCCCAGCAGCTGGCAGTTTATCCCAGCCTTCTGATGGCGAATGCCCAGAGTGCATTTGTTCGCACGAGGGAAGATCGTGTAAGCTTTTTCTTAAGCTCTGAGTTCTTTTCCTCTCAGATTTTTTTTTTGCCACTGGTCCTAGCCATTGTTGTATGAATATTTGAGACCCTCGGTGGCCATACTGCAGGGTTACCGTGAGTATTACAGTGCACTGCCAAGAATTTAAGTTTTGGAATCCCATACTGTGACTTGTGACTTTGGGCAGATACTTGACCTCTCCGTGCTTTGTGTCTTTATCTGTAAAATGGGACAACTCAGATGCAGGTCTGGCATTCCCGTAGTACCTGTTTTCTTTTCACAGTGACCGAGTGGCGGTTACTGCCCATCTCATGGTTCAGGATGGAGCGTGACGTGCAGATGCCTGCGGTGCGCTGGGTCCTGGAATGGGCAGCCCCTGGCGTGCCCGCTGCACTCCGCTTGCCTTCGTGCTCTCACACTGGCCAGGCGGCCTCCTGTGAGGAGTTCAGAGCTCAGTGCTTCTCAGGTCGGGCCAGCTCTTTCCCAGCAGCACATCTGTTCCGAAGGTCGTGTGGGAAGTTAGTTTTAGTTTGTTAGGATTTGTTCATCCGAAGATGTAGTCCGCTTTTTAGTGTTTTAGTTTAATATTAGAAAAGTTCATCGTAAAGCTGCAGATGAGTGACAGCAGACATCCTGCTTTCCCATTGGCAGTCTGGTGTATTGTAATGCCGCTTAAAGAAGGTTAGTGACAGTGCACGTGACATTGAGGAGCGCTGGTGAGACACTCCGTGCTCCAAGCACGAGGCTCCTGCCTCTCACTTCAGCCTCTTGTGCTGTGGAAAAGAAGAGGTTAATGAATGGTGTCTGCCTCCTGCAGGTGTCCAGGCTTCACTGAGGTCTTTCATTAGAATATTTGAGCTAGAGATTTTTGATTAGTGAAGCCACTCTAATCAGAAAATGAAGCCAGGAATTCACAGAAGAAACAAATGTCTGAGTGTGAAGACCTCCAGCCTCATTAGTACAGGGAAAAGCAAATTAAAACCACAATAAGACAGTTTCATAATTTGCGTATTGAGAAAAAACTAAAGGCAGACAAAACCGAGCCTTACTATATAGAACATCAGGCACTTGTATAATTTAGAAAACAGTTTGGCAATATTTGGTAAAGAAAGATACCCAGGTGTGGTGCACATCTGTAATCCCAGCACTCGGGAGGCTGAGGCAGAAGGATCGCCGCATGTTCTAGGTCAACCTGGGCTATGTAGTGAGACCCTATCTCAAACCCCCTCCCCCAAAAAGAAAAATGTATAATCTTTTGTCCAGCAGTTCTCCTCCTGTGTGTGTATCTCAGTTAGGCATTCAAGAGATTTTTCAAAGAATGTGTTGAACGTACTTGTGTCTACATCAGCAGGGGGATAAATCATACCATGAAGGAGTTCAGAGCACACCATTATTGTGTGTTATTTAGTGGCATGCGTGTACAGTGAACTAAAGCATATACTAGAGGAAGGCAGGTTACTTCTGAGGGTCAGGCCTAGCAGGGTTTCTGCTCTATTGAAGATGTTTCCTTTCTAATGTGTGTGCTGGGTGCATGCGTTTATTGTAATTTTTTCTTGTATCTTAAATATTGTACAATAAAACGTTTTAAACAATCATAAAAAGGAAAACAGAATTGTTTGGGAGAACGTTCCCAAAGAAGATTGGTTGAGAGGATCTGATCATTTCTTTGTGGAATAAGTTGGGAGGAGTTCAGAGCTAATTTTTTCACTTTTCTGATTTATATTTCAGTTCATTTTGTGTAGTAGTGTGATTAAAATAGAGCAAATGCGCAATTATTCTTTCTGTTAATATACTCTTTCTTTATTGTGCCAAAATCAATTGATGATTTTTCACAAAGTTTTAGCAAAATGAGTGTGGCCAAAATTAAAATCTGCTATTATATTAGATCACCATATGTTGCTAAATAAAAGACTTTGGTCTTTTATTTATTATTATTTTAAAAGACCAAAGTCTTTTCTTTAGGGTTTATAAATAAGTATTTTATGGTATACTGGTCCTCTGCATTGAAATTTAGCTCGGGAGTCATCTTTATTATTATTTTTAAAGAATCAAATTTGATTTTACTCAAAACTACATTTTTTTCTTTTTAATGTTACTGTTTTTTTCTTTCATCCAGTTCTTTTTAGAATCTGGTTTCCTTTCCTTTGCTCTGCTTCTCTCTTCTCTCTCCCGCCCCGCCCCTTTTCTCTTCTCCGTCCGGCAGCTGCATTTATGCCCTGGGTCTCCCCTTCCTGTCACTGTCCTCCCGCAGGACCCCTGTGGGTTTTACTGTGTCGCCAGCGCTCATGGCTGTTTGGTTTCTTGTTTAATCCAAGTGAGTTAGAAAGATTTCTCTCTCTCTTATTTTGTATTAAGAAGGGATAGGTCTATTTCATCCTTTTATTCCTGGTTTTTAGTATCTAATTCTAGTACATTGCAGTCAGTAAGTATGGCAATTGATTACTGCTTTGGAAATATTTTTGTGTTTTTGTTGTGTCTTAATATTTTATAATTTTTACAATGGTAACTGTTCCCATAAAGCTTTTATATTTTTTAGTTCACTCAGAGTTTTATACATAAATAATATTACTCATTATGTATTTATTTCTTTTGTATCTTTATGCTTTATTTTATCTGTCATTTTCAGAGGTAATTATGCTGGTCTGTCACTCTGACCTATAATTTTGTGTTATAATCAAACTTTATTTTTAAGCTAAAGCTTTACATTTATCTTGAATGATCTATACTTTTATCAACATGAAATTATTTATTTGATGTTTGTTTAACTATCCTTCAGTTCATTTTGTCATTGTTACAGGTTTGTCTTTTTTCACTTAGCAATAATCAGGCCATGCATAGGCCCTGTTGGCTGTGATACTGCTACTGCATAGAGCTCATTTTTTCTTAAAGTGGAGCTGTGTTTCACTAAGTCTGTGAGTTTTTAAATAGTTGAATCTAATGCATTCATATTTATTATTACTGGAATAGTTGGAATATTTGTTTTCATTCATTATAATTTATTATGTGTTATATTTTTGTAACAAGAAAATTTGTTATAATTTATTATTACTGGAATATTTGTTCCATTTACCTCATTATGTATTATATCTTATGTTTTGTTAATTATTCCAGGTTGTTTTAAAACTCTCCCTCACTTTGCAAAGTGTGCAGTCTTGTTTTGGTCCACATCCTTAATGTGCAGAGTCAGTCAATATCCATATTATTTCTACTATGAAGGATGAAGATAAAAATCATAATTTACTTCTAATAAATTTTGATTTGCTTTTATTTACATTATAATATGCTTTAATTTTATAAATTTCTTGGTCTCCCTATCCTCCACTTGAATTATTTTATTTTGTTTTGTTTTGGTTTGTTTTTTGTGGTTGTTGTTGTTGTTGTTTTTTTGTTTTTTTCTCCGGTACCGGGAACCAACTCACGACCTTGCGCTTGCCAGGCAGGCACTTTTGCCGCTGAGCTAAATCCCCAGCCCTATTTTGTTTTGTTTTGTTTGTATCTTTCCAGAAAGAATTTGTGAAAAATTCTCCCAAGTCCTTGGTAGCTTAAAATGTTCTCCCATTTGAGTGATAATTTGAGTAAGAAACACAAATTCACAGCCATTTCCTTCCCAACTTTGAAGATACTTTTTTCACAGATGTTTTTCTGTTATTTTGCACCCAAAGCTACAAGAGAGGTTGGGTCTGACACTGATTTTTTGCATTTTATTTATTTTTTTATTATAAAGAGAAAAAACAAGATAGCAACAAAGACAAAAACAAAACAATAAAAAAGATACTGAATTTCAAAACAAAATGATAGGAGATTAACAATGGTTGTTATATTACATACTGTTATCTTCAGTGAAGTTGCTCAGATTACCAGATGTAAGGATGCAAGATTGATCAGACAATTAAAGAGAATTTTTGTGCGTGTCTTAACACTTGTCAGTAGATTTTCTTGAGTGCTCCTTCTTGTCTGGTGGCCTTGGGTCCTTTCCCTGTGTGCCTCCTCGCGGGTGCTCGGGGGCATCACTTGTTACTTACCTGTGTGTGGAGATTCCCGGGAGCCGTTCTGTGAAGGCCGCAGTTGAGTGCGGTAGTCACCTCTAGTGGGTCCGGGCCCGGGCTGTGTGGCCTTGTGGAAGTCCTGGGTCTGCTCTTGCTGGCGGGCAGCTCTGCCTCTCCCTGGCTGCCTCCTCCTCCACTCTTAGCGTCCAGGCCCTCCCATTGGGCCCTGGCTCCTGGCAGAGCTGAGGGACAGGAGTAGAGGCCTCGAGCGTCTTCCAGTGGTGGTCAGGCCCAGCCTGTGCCTTGCAGAGTGCAGCGCCAGGACAAGGCTGCCAGCGGCTGGAGGTTCTGCCTTCCTCTCTCAGTTGATCCCACCCCCGCGCTTCCTTCTGTGCTGTGTCAGGGGTTGGAAGAGGACAAGAGGAGCCAGATGCCGCTCCAGGAGCCCACGATCCAGTCGCTGTGGGGTGGGGTTGGGGTGGGGTCCAGGGATTTGGATTAGGTTGCCTTCATGGTGTCGGAAGCAAACAAAAGACCGGTGCAAAACATTGCAGAATCTGTTGTTGATATGAGCTGTGTTATAAAAATTTCTTTATTGAGACTAAAATGGCAAAACTGTTTCTTAGACCACAAGACTAAAATGGGAAAACTGTTTCTTAGACCACAGACTTACAGTTCTTCAGTAGTTGTAAAGCTCTAACATTGTATGTGACTTCTTTCTACTTCTCTAACATTTTATTCTTATGCTAAAATGAATTAAGGTTAGTATTGAGAACTGCGGCATCTCACTTGTGAT